CCTATGAAAAACAAGATTAACAATTCCAAAGGTTGTTGGTTTGCTCTTTGTTGCTTTAGAAAATCTGACTTCATACTTACTAAAATCTGCTAGTGGGCAATACTCAACTGCCAATATAAATAAAATATCATAGTGATTCTGTGAAACTCACTGGTTTATTTCTACAGATATGGAGAGAAGGATGGTGTGATGTCATTAAAGGAGGACTAGGTTAGGACTCAGTAAACCTGGTTTCTAGAACTGCTCTCTTACTAGCTGGCAGCCCAGCCTTTTAACCTGAGTTAAAGTCCCTTGCCTGTAAGTGTGGGACAATCAAATGAAATCCCAGATATGTTATGGTAAGGCATTTTACAGTGCAATATCTTGTTGTTATTAGCAAAGTTCAGTTGAGGAGCGGCTTTGTGAGGAAAGATGAGTTCAATTTTAGACTTGTTGAATTTGAGGTGACAGCATGACATGAATCAAATGTTCCTTTCTAATTCAATCACATTGTAGTTTGCAGTCAAAAGCCCTTCCCAGTGGTTTGGCTTTAGTCTTCAGATTCTTGGCCTAATATTCCTTTGGCTTATTTCTCAGTAGACAGCTTTAACCACAGCAGGGAGAATGAGTCCTTAATGACTGCTTCCCAAGCTAATCAAACAGAAAGGCTTAATTCGTTCTTCTACATCTCTGGATCAGCTGTGAGGTCTTGGCTACTACTTGGGGGCCTTTCTTTACCAAAACAAGCAAGAGACCTAAAAGCTCCATCTTGGACATCCTATGCTAAAAACAACTCCCCTGCCTTCCCCTAAATGGAATCTCACGTGAAACCCTCAACTGCCCACTATACAATTTGAGAAGTTACTGCCTTCAACCTCCCACCTACCCAACTAGATCTGCCATCTATCTAGGCCAGGTCACACTCAACCTTCCTTCATCTTGGATTTCTCCTCAGAGGGGTGGCCTGACAACCAGACCACTCCGCTCCTCTGTCTCTTCTAACTCTTCTTGTTTGGTATTCTTCATTGGTAGCTCCTTGCCTAGGATACACAGTTATTAGAGCTAGATTTTTAAGAAGCTTTTATTACTACTAATAAAGAAACATATTAAAGTTGTTTTCAAAGTTCAAAACAAACAAGGAGCCAAAATACTTTCCTGGTATTTTGAATCACAACATGCCCAGTTGCTGGCTCATTCACATACCACTTGACTTTTACAAGTGAAATTCTGTCCCTGCCAAATGACTTGGTATGTGTGGAAATTCTTCGACTCTGAGACTCCTCCATGAGCCCCGTAAGTTGCTCAGCTTTTCGGCCTCACCCACAGCAGCTTACCCTTCACGCAACTCCCACAAGCTTATTACTTTTCTTTCAAAACGAAAAACAACTCAATCGTTTAATTTTTTCTGATTCTGAAAGTAACATACATTTCTTATTTGCTTAAACCAGACATTACCAGATGCGTAAAAGAGAAAGTGAAAATCAGCTCCCTAATCATACCACTCAGATATGGACAAGACTAACATCTGATATATTTTACCAGACATCTTGTTATGCATGCACAGATACTTTTGTTTTTAACCAACTGGGACTGTGTTATACGTATCATTTCCTAAACACTTTATTTATGACTATTTTTAACACATTAGCAAAATCTAATTTTCAACAGCAACACAGTATTCTGTGTATAGATCTACATAGTAATTATATGGATGTACTATAATGTAACCTATTTTCTGTAGATAGACAGTTAAGATTTTTTCAACTTTATGTTCTTATAAGTGAGGCTGCAAAGGGCATCATTATAGATATACTTTTATCATGTGTTCAACTATTTATCTAGGAAAAATTCTCAGAAGTCAGCATTTCTGAGTTTAAGAGTATCCTCACCTAAAAGGCTTCTGACACACATTGGCAAATGGCCCTTCAGAAAGGTATACAACACCAGCAATGTAAATGAGTGCTAATTTCACCACAAGCAGAATTTGTCCAAAGAACAGGTGAGTACACAGCATCCATAATATATCAAATGTTAGCACAACCTCTGCTTTAAACTCAGGTAAAAACAAAATGTTAACATTTCTAATTCTCTGCACACTGGATTCAAACATATTTGAAATGCGGCTGACTAGTAAAAATCATACCTAACCGCCCACCAGATTGTAATAAAAGTGTACCAGTCCCTTTGTTCCTTCCGGGAACCTTCAGCAAATGCCAGCAGTAAGCAGCCCAGGGGTAGTCTGCTACTGCTCCCAGGAGACTTGGGGCAGAGCAGGACTCCAAGTCCCTCAGAATCATCTGAGAATGATTAAACTATGTTTATTAGAGATTTAACCACTTTACTGCCATCTATTCTTCTAAGAACTGGTAACTCACAAATGATAGGTAAGGCACCTCTATTAAATAACATTTTTGATTGGCCAGAATCCATGATTTTCCCACCCATGCTGGGTGTAAGCAGGTTTATTATGGAGTACTATGCTTTGTTTCTGCTAACTACCTTCGCTCATCTCTTGGAGAATACCTGGTGAAAGATATGATCAATCTTACTGCAGGAAGGCCAATGCTGATGGTAGCAAAATGGCTCATCAAATATTTGGAAGGGGGTGTGTGTGTGTGTGACAGAATAAGTGTTAAAAAATCTCAAAAGTCCATAAAAATTACATGATGTTATTTGATTGTGTCAGTGGTATGAAAAAAGGAGAGAGGACTGGTTTTTCTTTCATTCCCAGAACCAGCAGCTTAAAGGCTCTGGTGTTATAAGAGAAAACAGAACTATGCAATGGGAAAACTTTCTTGGAATGCTGTGGCTTTTACACCAAAGACGTTTTAAGTTTTTACCACTAGAGCTCTACACCCTCAGTATATTCAAGTAACAATATAATCATGTTACATGCTGTGCCATTTAGACAGAGAGTTCAAATAAATAAAGTACTGCAGACATGGCAAATAAGGAAGTCACTGAGGAATCAGTGTCTACATTTGGACGGGCTGGGGTCTGAAAGTATGCTAGATGAGAGACAGGCGAAGTGGCGAAGCTCCCATAGTAAAAGACACTGGAGCAAGGCGCTAGTCATCTTGCCCCAGTATACCCCTCACCCCACTTTCCCCATCAAATATTTCTCAAGACTTGCACAACACTGGCAAAATTCCTATAATTTCACCTATAGTATAGGCTGTTTTGTTTTGTTTTGTTTTCACCGTGTTCCCCATAGCCTGAAGAATAATGCCCTATTGCCTTTCATTTTGTCTTTTTTTTCCTTCCATTTTGCTGCTTTCTGATTTGAGACTACAGTAGATCCCAGCAAAATTTTCAAGCAAAAATGCTGGCAATGTATTTTATTGACCAAACAAGATCTCTTATCGGGGAATCAGGTTTAAAAATAAAATAAGGAAAAGCAATAACCATTTTTTATGGAGGGGGAGGAAGTTGATGTTATTGCATGTTTAGGAGCATTAAAGACCTAGAGAGAATAAAAAAAGAAGTATGGTTGAGTCTATAATGAGTGTAAATTTACTTATTTTATGTTGATAATCACAGTACTACTCTGAGAAATTACCTGGACGTTGATAATCACAGTACTACTCTGAGAAATTACCTGGACAACCAAGTAATTAGTCAAGTTTGGATTTGCAATCTTGCTATTTTTTTTTTTTTACATACATGGTATATATGATACAAATTATTTTGCAACTTAAAAAAATGTAATAATATATTTGATGATTTTCTAAATAAGTTCACCAAGACATAATTTATCATCTACTGCACAGGATCCCTCGCTTTATTTAACCATTTTCCTATCGAAAGACATTTGGGTTTTTCCTAGTTTTTCTCTGTTGCATACAGTGCTGCAATGCCTTCTTGTGCACCCCTTTTATATGTTAGATACTGGGAAGTGGAATAGTATATGTTCATTTAAATTTGAAAGATTCTGTCACATCACCCTTCACAGTAGTCATTCCAGGTGGCTTGAAGTGAGAATTCCCCATGCTCTGTCACTTCAAATAACCAAGTCAGATCAACATACATTAAGACAGCCCACTGCTAACTGACAGAACCAGAGAAAATATTTAATCTTCTATATCTTGTACAGTAGTGGTACCTACTATTTTAAGGAGGTGGGTCCTTTTAAAATATCAAGAGGGGCACCTGGGTGGCTCAGTCGGTTAAGCGTCCGACTCTTGGTTTAGGCTCAGGTCATGATCTCAGGGTCGTGAGGTCGAGCCCCATGTCAGGCTCTGTGCTCAGTGTGGAGTCTGCTTGAGATTCTGTCTCCCTCTGCCCATCCCACTTGTGCTTTCTCTATTAGATTTTTTAAAAAGTTAAAAAAAATAAAATATCATGAAACATTAGAATATCATGACAATTGCTTATATTTTTGTTATTTACTAATAAAGTGTTTTATAAAGTGTCTATAAATTCAACAATACATAAAAGGGAATCTGTCTTATAAATCACTGCATTTATATATATTTGAAGAATAGTCTTTCATACCTGAAACAGTTATTTATCAGACTCCAGAAAGTATTTGGTGTGGATATGAATCTGGGAATCTCTTCCAGTATCTTCACCATTAGAGAACCACGGGTGTACAGCAACAGATGACAAGAGTACCACTGAACAGACTGTGAATTGTCACCTTCTAAGTCTTTTGTTTTTCAACATTCCTCGTGCTTGGTAAGCACACGCACACACAGACACACACGCAAACCCACAGGTTAAGTGAGGAAAGCCACAGAGGCACTAAAATGAGCCTTATTTATTAAAGAGTTTTTATTTTATTTATTTTTATTTTAATTAATTCATTTTTTAAAAGATTTTATTTATTTATCTGATAGAGAGAGAGAGACAGCGAGAGAGGGAACACAAGCAGGGGGAGTGGGAGAGGGAGAAGCAGGCCTCACGCAGAGCAGGGAGCCCGATGCGGGGCTCGATCCCAGGACCCTGGGACCATGACCTGAGCCAAAGGAGACACTTAACCAACTGAGCCACCCAGGCGCCCCTATTAGACTTTTTTTAAAAAAAATATGGAATGCTTCACGAATTTGTGTGTCATCCTTGCGCAGGGGCCATGCTTATCTTCTCTGTATCGCTGCAATTTTAGTATAGGTGTTACTGAAACCAGCACCGTTTATTAAAGATTTAAAGAGGTCCCCATGCAGATCAGTTTCCAAGTCTCTCTGCTTTCCTTAATTGCCTGTGCCACATTCCTATGTTTTTTTTTTTCACATTCCTATGTTTTAAAAAGAGAATACTGCCCCTAAAATTCTAACAGATTGAATAAATTCGCCACCCAAAAGAAACAATCTTACCAGTAGTTCACCAGATGCAAATTCACAATAACTTGTGGGCGGGTAGATAGTCCGCTAAACTCTCAGATGGGCTCTCCCCTCCCTGCATCCCACACCATTTCCACTTTCATATAAGGAGTTGTCCAAGAGAAGGTGGTGTTGGTTGAGGGGGAGATTGCAGGTTGTAACTGAGACACTCAACCACAAACATGATCCTGTCCCCAGCTTTCTGCAGCTCTCCCCTCCTCACAGAGGCTAGATTCAGGAGAAGGCCTCAATAATGACTTCTTCATTTTTTTTAAAGAACAACTTCTTAGTCAATTACTTTTCTCTGATTTTCCTTACTCTTGGTTCTATGTCATTATCTTAACCTTGGTCTTAATATGGGATCCAACTTAAAGAGTTAAAACCTCATGTGGGTTAAAGATGTACTCATCAACTATTATGGGGCAAAATAACTCATACATACTTTCATTATTCTTTTCCATGTACCAAAAACCCTGGTGACTTTCTTTCATAATATGAAATGCAAGCAGAATTTCTAAACATATCCTATCAGCTCTGTGAATTGCTCAAAGCTCTTAGCAAACTCTCAGGCAATACTGTGATCAGGAGGGAAAATCCAAGCTACTGAAATGACTCATATTTGCCCCGGAGATTTACTGTATGTTTGAAAGTTAAAAGAAGTTTATAGCAACATTCCAGGGTCTTAAATATGATTTTGTTTATATGCGGTGTCTGCAAAATGTTGTGGTTTTGTTTAATGCACAAAAAGTGCAATTCTGAATGTTTTCCCCTTGAATTCCTTAAAGAAAGGAATTAAAAATTACAATGGAGAAAAACCCAAGAAAATAAAAAAAAATTTTCAAGGCAGAGTATGTTTAGAAATGGGTTAATAGTTAATAGTCAATTGGTGGGCAGTTAGTAATTAAATAGGATAGAATGAAAGAAAAGTTCCTTTGATTTAGAGTATATATATTTAAAAATATTGTTCTTATTTATTATATATATTTGTATGTTATTTATTTTATATATCTATATAATTATATATAGATATATATATATATTTTTTTTGGTAGGGCAAGAAGGTAAAAATAAGCTAACTATCATTGTAAAATTGAAATTTACCCAGGAAGAGAGGTTATGTTCTATTTCATCTATTCCCCTTTCCCTTACCCCATCTACACCCACCCACCCCCACTTCTGAGAATTATTACAGTTTGCACAGCAACCATAAGTTTTGGATCCCAATAGTAAGACACTGTGTGCTGGCATCCTTCAGAGCTCTTATACATGTCATCGCTGCCAGTTATCACCCTCTGCCTTCCACATGCCTCATACAATAGTGACATTCCATAATCACACGAGTTTTGTAACCGCAGACTACGGTGGGGAAACACGTGCGGCACAGCAGAGTAGAAAACAGCATCAGACAGTAGAAGACACACACCTCTCCACTCTGCCTCTCTCTACGCTACTGCGGCTAGCCGGTTCCTAGCATCATGAGGACCGCAATGTCCTGTCGAACGGCTAGATCAGGTCTGACTGTGCGTGCGTGGTCAGAAGAGACCTGGGGGCGCTGGGAGTTCTGATTTGGACTCCGGCTTGTACCGTAACGAAGGGCTGACCGGCACACTGTTCTCAGATGGTCCTGCCCTAGGCTCAGCTGACGCCCAAGTTCAGAGACTCATTTTTGAATCGATGCAGGTAGCCACAGGAAATGTTTTGAAATGTTTTAAAATATGGATTCTAATTGTTTGGGATCAATATTTTAAATTAAAAAGACGTTTAGCATAACATATTGTACCTGTAAATGAGCGCATACTATGTATGATACATGACCGCTTTAAAAGATAATGAAACAGCCAGCTCAAACAGCACCAGCACCTTGGAGACCCGTTTGCGCCCTCTTCAATCACATCCAGATCTGTGTTTAAATGCCTCCAAATAACCTCTAGCCCAAATTTCGGGTTATTTTAATTATTCTACTTTTCTTTGTAGTTTTATTCCAAAGGTATGCATGCCTCAACAATTTATTTTTTAGTTTTGCCTTCTTAAAACTTTATGTAATCATACTGTATGTATTCTATGGTTAGTTTCTTTCATAAAACTATATTTCCGAGATTCATCTATTCTTATATGAACAGCTGTAGTTTAGAAGGACAGATGCACAGGGTTTTCCAAACATTTCTTGAGACTGGGATTAATATCTAACTATTCAAATGGTACCATTTTTTTTTTAAGATTTTATTTATTTGACAGCGAGAGACTCAGCGAGAGAGGTAACACAAGCAGGGGGAGTGGGAGAGGGAGAAGCAGTCTTCCCGCTGAGCAGGGAGCCCGATGCAGGGTTTGATCCCAGGACCCTGAGATCATGACCTAAGCCAAAGGTAGCCGCTTAACGACTGAGCCACCCAGGTGCCCCAGATACCATTTTCTTTTTGAAAGTCCATAGATGGTTAGTGATATTCGGTAGAACTAAATGAACAGAATCTGGATTTACTTTCTTACTGAATTGCTATTCTTTTTAGAAGATCTTATTTATTTATTTGAGAGAGAGATAGAGAGAGAGTGGAGGGGTGTAGGGGCAGAGGGAGGGAATGCCAAGCTGAGTGGGGAGCCCAACTCGGGGCTCGATCTCAGGACCCCAAGATCATGACCTGAGCCGAAATTAACAGTCTGATGCTTAACGGACCAAGCCACCCAGGCGTCCCCACTGAATTGCTATTTTTATCACAGTTATTTTTGAAAGGAACAAAGCATCTGTCAAACCTATTTAGTACAGATTTTGGAAGAATAATTCCATGACAGTTTCCTGAGATTAAACTAAAATCTCTTTATTTTGTCACAGACAGGACTGCCTTTGCGTCCCTCCCGCTATCCCGCCCTGTTAAATCAATAAGCTTGGTCAGATCCAAACAGGTCACTGTTTCATTTATAAATGTTTAGAAAGCGTAGGTATGGAAAGAGTAGGTTGATGATGGAGAAGATCCACTTTGCTCCTCACTTGGTTATTCATGTTAAACTTTGGTCAAAATGAATGAAAATGAGTAAGAAATGCTTAAGGGGCCAATAAAAGGATTAAAATAAACTTTTCTCTCTTTCAACTCTTATTATTCAACTGGTATAAAATATGGCTAATAGAAATAAACCCAATTACTGTGTTTTCATAAATACTACCTTTTCTTCATCCCCAACTTAGCATTGTCTACCAAGAAATATTAAATAATAAGAATCTTAAATAAATATGGTCATTATGAACTTAGGCTTTTTAAAATGTTGTCAATCAAAAGTAAAATCTGACTTGGGGCTGTTTCCTGCCGCTGTATCTATTAAAGGACAACCTTGCTTTAATGCGCACAGTAGATGTGGACAATAAACCTTGGCCTTAATTTTTTTCAAGTAAAACATGCTAAAGCAATTCAGACCCAGGTGTCTGTGACTGGCAACACTATATTTTACCAGTTCTTTAATTAATTAATTAATTACTTTAGTTAGTTATTTGACAGAGAGTGACACAGTGAGAGAGGGAACATGAGCAGGGGGAGTGGGAGAAGGAAAAGCAGGTTTCCAGCGGAGCAGGGAGCCCGACACGGGGCTCGATCCCAGGACCCTGGGATCATGACCTGAGCCGAAGGCAGACGCTCAACGACTGAGCCACCCAGGCGCCCCGAGTTCTTTCTTTTGCATTAGGTCTGCACCTGGATATACAACTGGCTCAACAGTAGCCCCAGAGCAGGGTGCAGGGAGGACCCCCGCGTTCCCACTGACCAATTTGGAGCGATGGTGTCTGATGGCAGATACATATACAAGCAGATTCTTTTCATAGCCACAGACTCCTGGGAACAGAAATTTCCCCTTCCATCTTTGAATGTGAAAATACAAACTCATGTTAGATGAATCTTACGCTTAGTGTGATCTAGAAATTCAGGTCTTAGCCCCAAATTCGAAATATTTGTGCGGTGTGGTACAAAGGCTCATCATTTCACGTGGTGTTAGCTCCCAGTGACGGTACAGCTGTCGCATTGGTAAACATTTGACAAAATAAATAAGGCGACTGCAAGAACGAAAACAAGATGCCCTTAAGTGGAGATTATGAACCTGTGACTAATTAAAGGGAATCCCTGAAAGGGGAAAGTGGTATTGCAGACATGCGACGGAAATGGTCCGCGGCACGCGGGTCCTGCTAACTGACGTCACGTGTCCTGTGTCGGCTGAGAGGACTCTTCGCATCCTCTCCAGACAGGCAGGGCTTAACTGCGGGAAAATTTATGGGTAATGGATTTTCATAACAGGCCTTTTATGATCCTCTCCTCCCCCAAAAGTACCCTCTGGAGCTTTCCTGCTTCCACTCTCATTTTTCTTAAGTGGAAAAAGATTTACTCTTCATTTCCTCTTTCCCGGTACTCTCTGTTGGCTCCACTTCTTACCATTGGGTGGAGAGCCTCCCATCTTCCCTCCACCCCCCTTCCATCCTTCCTCTCTTCCTCAGAAACAGAAAGCTCCACTATACTGATAGATCTGACACGGGAGCATTGTTTCCAGCACCTCCGCTGAAATACGTTGAGTGTCACCCTGACAAGAAAGCATATTTTGGGGTGGTTACTACCTTCCTGACCCCAGAGGTATTGCACAAACTTACCTAACATCCAGCTGGCACGTAGCCCCCCTCCAAGCGCTAGAACTGTAAAGTTTTGTTTACAAGTGGTAGCTAATAGACAAACCTTGAGTGGAGACAGGAAATGGAAAATGACGGGCCAAATCCTGGATGTTTGGCCCTTTGAAAAGAACATTTATTCTTGCAGAGGACTTGGGAGCCAACCATTGCTAATGGGTC